GTGTGCATCTCCTCTCCAGGCCTTTTTTTTCTCACAACAGACCTATTTCTATTTAGTGGACAACCTAGCATTGCTTTGCACTCAATATAACTGAAACTGAGCTTAATGTCCTCTTCTCATGCATTTTGCTGTGTTTCCAAGTTGAATAGTGATGGCTGTCACCTGTCACCTGGATCCCCACAGCCCTCTGTGCTGTTGTGTTGTATTCACCTTTGCATCCTCCACATCATCCTCCAGCTTTTGATTTGAACAAATTAGTGAATAACCAACAAAATTCAATGCAGTGCCCAGTGCAGAGAAGGTACTCAATAAATCTTTGTGAAATGAAGGAGTAAATGAAAACCCTTTGGGAGACTAGATCTATGAGCAATAAAGTCTGCTCTTGATTTTTCTATAGTTATATAGGATTTAAATTGCCTACTTTATCATTGGTAAGAAAGATTTTGATACCATTCTTCAATATGGGCTTGTAAGGAGAAAGAAAAAGAAAAATACTTTCTGGTGCACACAGGAGGACAAATATCAGACTTTTTTTTTGGAGGGGGGGTGTACTGGGGATTTAACTCAGAGGCACTCAACCACTGAGCCACATCCCCAACCCTATTTTGTATTTTATTTAGAGACAGGGTCTCACTGTTTCTAAGACTGGCTTTGAACTCACGATCCTCCTGCCTCAGCTCCCCCAGCCACTGGGATTACAGGTGTACACCACTGCACCCAGCTATTATCAGACTTTTTAATAAAAAACAGGTATTTTCCAAACCAGCATGAATATAAAGTGCTAAAAAAATGAGCTGTGACTCTTGCCTGGAGAAGGCAGAGTGAAATTTTGAATCCTATTCTTTACCCCTCCTTATATCCAAGCCCTTGGCAATATAACTTAGGAGTTCCTTCCACCAAAGGCAAGTGAAAATTCCCACTGTTGGCTTTTGAGCTCTGCCATGTAACTTGACTGCTCTTCCCAGTAGATGTTAGCAGATGTGAATCACAACACTTGACAAGTTTTTGGTAGTTGGGCTCACTTTTCTCACTGAAATTACCAGGACACACACACCTTGGCTAGCCTCACTGGACCATAGGGAGAATGAAACTATGTGGAGCAGAGCTGCCTCTGCTTCCTCCCTCCCCCACAGCATCAGGGGGAAGTACAGCCACCCCAGCAAACCCAGCCAGGATCAGCTTTTGGAAATCTACCAATCTATGAATGCATAAATCCAATAAATGCTCACTCTTATAACCAAAATTGCTGGGAGCCATTAGCCAAGTAGGTATGACAATTTCCTTGCCAGCGTACCCCATGTTGCTGACATGTTGCAGTGACATTGAATGTAGGTGACCTTGCTCAAGGACCAGGGCGGATTAGGGTGTTCCCGGTTTAAGATAATCGGGTTTAGGGCGTTCCCAGTTTAGGTTCCAGGTTTAAGGTTTAAGATTATTCCTGCTGGGAATAGGGCGTATCCTGCTGCCTGAGTTCCCCTTGAGTTCTCACAGGATTCAGACAGTATTTTTTGGGAGACAGAAGCCCAGTGGAGGTGGATTTGGGCAGAGAACGTGGATTTCCCCAGAACGTGATTGTAGACGGCTGGTGTGAGTTCGGGAATAAAGAGTTGCTGTTTGAATCTACAAGGTGTGTGGTGGCTCGTGATTGTGTGCCCAGCCAGACTGCGGCATTTGTGCCCAGCCAGACTGTGGCACAAAATTTGTGTTTGGTTTGATACAACAGTATCTCACTGACACAAACAACAATATACTGCCTTTACTCCCTTTTTCTTCCTCCTCTTGGCCTTATGCATCCCTTCTCCTCCTCTAAGAAGGATGCTACTGTGAAATAGTGGAGTCAGAAAATCCTAATTTTAAACTCATTCCATGAATGATTAGGTTTGAATAAATTCTCTTCTTTAAGCCTCAGTTTAAAGAAGAGAACTTATTCAAACCTATGAAAAAACAATTATTCCCTAAAGACCTAAAAAGAGCATGCTACAGGGACACTGCTACATCGATGTTCATAGCAGCACAATTCACAATAGCAAGACTGTGGAACCAACCTAGATGCCCTTCAATAGACGAATGGATAAAAAAAATGTGGCATTTATACACAATGGAGTATTACTCTGCATTAAAAAACGACAAAATCATAGAATTTGCAGGGAAATGGATGGCATTAGAACAGATTATGCTAAGTGAAGCTAGCCAATCCCTAAAAAACAAATGCCAAATGTCTTCTTTGATATAAGAAGAGTAACTAAGAACAGAGTAGGGACGAAGAGCATGAGAAGAAGATTAACATTAAACTGGGATGAGAGGTGGGAGGGAAAGGGAGAGAGAAGGGAAATTGCATGGAAATGGAAGGAGACCCTCAGAGTTATACAAAATTACATACAAGAGGAAGTGAGGGGAAAGGGGAAAATAATACAAGGGGGAGAAATGAATGACAGTAGAGGGGGTAGAGAGAGAAGAGGGGAGGGGAGGGGACAGGAGGGGGGATAGTAGAGGATAGGAAAGGCAGCAGAATACAACAGACACTAGTATGGCAATATGTAAATCAATGGATGTGTAACTGATGTGATCCTGCAATCTGTATATGGGGTAAAAATGGGAGTTCATAACCCACTTGAATCAAAGTGTGAAATATGATATATCAAGAACTATGTAATGTTTTGAACAACCAACAATAAAAAATTAAAAAAAAAACAATTATAACACATATTTTGAAGACAAAGCAAGGTACATTGAGCATTCAGTGTACAAATCATTAAGCTATATTCAAGAAATGAGTGGTAACTGGCTAAAGGGGTTCCCATACCAAGGAAAAGCAGGTGTTTCCTTGTTCTTTCTGTACTCTTACCACAATAAATTCCATTCCTTTCCCCCGGATTTGCTCTTCTTTGGTCCAGGTAGTTGTTCTCACAGTGTGATCTTCTCTCTGCCCCTAGTGGAGAGATCTTTTTCCTTTTGTAGCACATTCAATCTCCAAGAACGATTATTTTAAAATGTGCTTGTACGTTTACTCTTTCTGTGTGTGTATGCTTATGATATTAACTTGGTCTTAAATTGTAGTATCTGATCCACTTAATGTAATTATTTGTATATTTGGGTTTTTAGCTATCATCTGTTTGTTATCTATATAACAAACCTGTTTTATATTTCCTTTATCTTCATTTGCATTATTACTATTATTTTTAATTTGGGAGATTGAACTCAGGAACACTTTACTATTGAGCTACATCCCCAAATTCTTTTTGAAAATTTGAGACAGAGTGTAGTTGCCCAAGCTGGCCTTGACTTGATTCTCCTGACTCAGCCTCCTGAATTGCAGGGATTAAAGGTGTGTACCACTTAGCCTGGCCATTTGCATTAATGTTTGAGTACTTCATTATTTTCCTTCTTTAACATACCAGTTAAATATTTTCCTTTTACTATTATTCTAGTACTTTAGACATAACTCATATCCTTTATTTCTGTGCACAGAGTACTTCACCACTTTTTCCATAGTGCCTGAGTCTTAGATTTTAACTCCTTCTACTCTGTCCATCTTGTTCTTGAGGTCTTGTATTTCCACAAGATGTGATTTTTGCTTCAAACAATCAATATTGATATCTAGGTCAACATATCTACCCTTTTGTTCTATTACATCATCATGGAGCCCCATACCTTTCATTTGGATTACTGTCCTTCCAGGAACCTGGCCAATCAAAATACTATTTAAATTTTTCTTCTAATAAATATTATCTCACTCCCTCGTGCATCAGGGTTATCTAGAGGTTGCTGCCCTGATCAGAGAACTTTGGAACAAATGGCCTCTACCAACTTAAGGTTCACTGGGGCATTTTATTGGCCCCTATTCTGCTGATCAGTCGAAACATGTGTCTTTTATTAGATCTATCACTTGAGTTAGGCTTTGGAAAAGGCAGCACATTCCCCCCCCCCCCCCCCCCCCGCCCAGTGGGCTTTGGTTTGAATACTCTTGATGCTAATCCCATCTGCAAAATTCTCAGTAAAGTTCATCTGAATTCACCAGACTCTACTTTGGAGTATAAAATCAAAAAAACAAAAACATTTTATTTTCATCTCTTAACATTTCTCTTTGTACTCTGTGGATGAGGTTGAATGATTTTTGGTTACTCTTAAAATTACTTTATAATGTACGATTTCCTTAGAACTCTTAATTTTGTACCTTTATTAGTACATCATTTCCTCCATTCCGATTGACCCAGATATTCTGTTGACTAATTTATTGGGATACTTTATAGTTTCTTCCAAATAATATAACCACTGCCTTAAAAAGGCTTATTGGGTGTGGTATTCAAAGATATTAGGATTCCACCATTAACCAAGTTCTAGGGGGTTCTGGCCTCACCTCCCCATGGTCAGCTGACTGCTTTTCCTTCCTTCTAGGTTCCTTCACTGACCCTGCTGCTGCAAACTGGTGTTTTGTGTTCCAATTTGGGACACAGCACACTCTTCCAGGAACCACAGAAAATACAGTAATTTACAAAAGGGATCAGAGGTTCAGTAATAGAAGTATTCATGTTCCAACAAATTGGACCAATTTCTCAAATTTTTCCTTATGCATACTCTTGTAAAGTCTCTTGACTTTCATTTATTTAATTGCACAGATAAAACAGAAGTCAATTTTTTTCTGTTGCCTTCAATATCTCATCAACTTACATAAGTGGTAGGAGAAATTACCTTCTGAGGCTGACACTTCTCCCAAGACAAACTGTGCTCAGACCTTAGATGAGTGGATGAGAAATGCCTGCATATTAGATTCTCTTCTGCAAACTTCAGACTCTAATCTTATCCTGTTTATGCTCCATCTTAATCTTTTGTTTATGTTCCACCTGTAGCTCTGCTAACTATTCAAAGCCTTCACTATCAACATGGAAAACTATGTTGTACTCCCAGATCTATTTATAAGTAGGAATGACCTCCAGAAGCCTCAGGACCCCAAAGCTCTGGAAAGGGAGTAGGCAAAAGAGAAGGTGCCAGAAACCAGGAAATTTGACTGCCAGTGTTATTTTATTTCATTTGTGCATATTTCTAGGACAATTCTAGAACTGGTATTAAAACCAAACCAGTCCAATATTATTAATGGCTAAAAAATTTCTTTGTTGGGCTGTTAAGGGAAGGTCCATTCAACCCACTGTATTCCTCTGGTCTATACCAGCATACAATGGATTGTGATAGAAGCAGAAGAAATCAGGCACAGAAGACTGTCTCCCCTCCATGCTTTAATCTCATACCCTGCGCACCATTTATAGAGGATGTCTCTCCAGTCTTTGACACTCCCAGGATCCGAGCAGGTGAGGTTCATAATTATTCGGCTCATCTCCATGGAGTTTTGAATAGATAGAGACCCTTGGACCACCAGGAGATATTACTATTTAGTTCTTAATTACATGAAAATAAAATCACATAAGGAAAAGCAAACACAGAAACATGAAAGCCATTTACTCCTAGTTAACTCCTCAGGGTCCCGGGTGCTGGGTTTCATAATTTCCCCTGACATTAGGAACTGAGGCAGGGATGATTGGGACTGTGTGTCAGGAAAATATTACTGATGGTCTTGGCCTGCAGCAACATTTTTTTCCCTATTTTTCCATAGTTTAATCTTAGATCCTCTCCAATTTTCTTCATGTAAATGAAGTGACCCAGTCAATCATGGTTCTGTTATTGTTATAAGTGCCTTTGTAGATGGATACTGTTCAAAACCCCTCACAACCCAAGCAAAGGAGAGAGGGAAAGGGTGAGCTTCTACATATGTGGGAACGTAAATGATTTCATTAAGATTTAATTATGCTTTACTGAATCCCTCAGCACTACAGTGCTACATCTCACTTGCAGAAGTGCCAGGCATACAACCAAGAGATTAGACTGGTTGAAGAGTAGGAAGGCCAGAGGCATGAGCATTTAGACAGGGAACAAAAACAAAACAAATAACAGTAACAACAAAAAAGACAAGGAAGAGACTTCTGATGAGACCTTCCTTTCTAATTTCTGGCACCAGTATCATTTTGACAATGGGGAAAGGAGCAGCTTGCCAAGATCCAAATGGTGAAGAAGTGAGTCAGACAGTGAAGGATCTGTAGTTATCCTGTGTGTGGCAAAGCTACCAGGACAAAAATTGGTCTTGAGTTCAGTGCTGTGTGCTTTAAGATTTGAGCCCAGTAAGGACAGTACCCTTTAGGCTGGTCCCTTACCAAACTGAAGGGGTTGTCCTTGGCTATTTTAAACTTGAGGCTGGTAAGTAGTCTCGAGGATATGTAACAGTCTGTTTTCCAGAAAATGTAATAACCTCTTAAATCTTCTAACTCTCCTACTTCATACCCTTGAGATAGAGGCAGGAGGAGCCTTCCAGTGGAAAAGCCTCAATTCAGGCTGTACTTTGGATAAAATATCTCCTCAAGATACAGAAGATTAAGTGGTTCTTCCTGGAACTTTTATTTGGTGGTGGGAGGAGGCTATTTATGGTCTGGGTGGGTTAGGAAGAGTTTAGAAAAGGTCCCTTCTCCCATCTCATCCTGGGTGAGGACTAAGTACAGATCTCACATGGGCACCAAGCTAGGAGGTCTTTTCTGAGTGGGTCCTCTGATGCCTGATTAAGTGATATCCTCTGCTGAAGCTTTTCCCACAGGTAGGGCAGGTAAATGGTTTCTCTCCTGTGTGTGTTCGCTGATGCCTGACGAGGTGGTCCCTCCGACTGAAGCTTTTCCCACATTCGTTGCACCGACAGGGCCTCACTGAGGCATGTCCCCTCAGGTGCTTGGCAAATGCTGCACTATGGTTGAAGCAGCGCCCACACTCACTGCAGTGGTAGAGCTCCTCAGCTGCATGTGTCTTCCGGTGTGCTAGATACCGCCTGTGGTCACCGAAGTCCTCTCCACACTCCCCACACAAGTAGGGTTTGCCCCCTAGGTGGATTCTTTGGTGTGTTGTTAGCACAGATTTCTGGCTAAAGCTTTTGCCACAAATAGTACAGAAGAATGGCTTTTCTCCTGTATGTGTCCTCTGATGCCTGACAAGGTCTGAAGTCCAGCGGAAATGCTTTCCACAGTCATCACATCTGTAGGGTTTCTCCACGGGTGGAGTTCTCTCAGCCTGGATCAGAGATGCAGTCCCATCTACATTTTTTCGGTTTAGGGGATATTTGTAAGAAGTGTTCATCTTGTGAACCTTTTGGTGCCTGGCAAGATGTGAGCTCCGTGTGTAACTTTTTCCACATTCCATACATTTATATGGTTTCTCTCCTGTGTGAGTTCTCAGGTGCCTAATAAGGTGGGAGTTACATGTGAAGTTTTTCCCACATACAGAACAGTGATGGTGCCTCCCTAACAGGGAGTGGACAGGAACGGTTTCCCGAGGATTCACAAAACTATTAGCTTGAGAAATATTTGTACCAAATCTTCTTTCATTAAGTCTACCTGGATAATCTTCAAAGACTATTTCCCAATCTGGTGTCTGATGAATTTCTGGATCTCCCAAAACAGACCTGTGCATATCCTCTAAACTCCGATCTTCTTGCTCAATACCCTCTTCCTCATCTTCACTCCTATCTCCTGTAGAAGGGACGAGAAGAAAAAGGAGACATTATAACTCTAACAATGCTTTCTACACAATGAGGGGTATTTTTAAAAAGGGCTTTGGGAGGGCAAGACCATATTGAGAGAAACATGTGTTTCATATGTGTAGAGGTTGGGAAAGAAGGAAATAATCACTCCAGTGAATGCCTGTCATGGCCAGGCACTTTCTTATATGTTATAACATCAAGAAGCCTTAGCATAGCCAAGTATTATTATCCTCATTTTATAAATGTGGAGATTGGAATTAAGGGTTTAAGTGAATTGTACAGTAAATGGTATAGCTGCAATTCTAGGAGTTTAGTTGTTTTATTTTTCTTTCACCATTTTGTAACATCTATCCCTCAAACAAATGATGAGAGGGGCGAAGAAGAGGAAAATGACAGAAGAGTCTGGCTTTCAGAGGGAGATGGCAGTAATGACTGACATGTCAAAAGAACCAATGACAGGGCCCTAGAGGAGAGAGAAGCACTGACTAGAGGAAGTGCCCACTCAGGGTGGTAAGACCCCTTCTGTCATTCCTCACCTGTGTAGGTAAAACTCAGGATTTCTGGCTCTTCAGGCTCTTGAGGCTCATGGATATCTGGGACCTGAGGCTCTTCTTCTCTAACCTGGGAGATATCATCTAGTCTGGGGATTGGAAATGCTGCTCAAGAAAGGGAGAACAGGACATCACGACTGGTTCAACACTTCCTTGTGTTAAGAGCAGATCTTTTCTGGTTGGTAGGTTGTATAGTGAATACACAGCTCAGTTGGTCAAATCTTTGGTCTTTTTGGAGTACCTCTAACCAAGAATTGCCTATCTCTTGCCTTTCTTGGGCCTTCTGCCTGCAACTCAATAATTACACTGATGTAAAATTTATACCCTTTTCCCATACTCAGGAAAGCACATCATCTCCATCTCTTTTGCTTGTTTCTAAACTCATATGCTTACCACAAATATTTCTATACTAAAGCTATAACACTATAGCTTTATTTTATTGTTAGAGGTTTCCAGCCATTTTTTTTTAAAAACATTTTCTCTTTTCCCTTTAACTTGGAAGAATATCATCTTCTTCCACTAAGTAATCCATTTATTTCATTGGTGGGGTAAGCATAAGAAGTTCAGTGCATATAATCTAAGGCCTAGGATCCCCCAAATTTCCAACAGGAAAAAGATCTCTGTACTTAGAATGCTCCAGAAAAACATGAAATTCCTTACACAGAGAGACCACAATTCCACAGTCTTCTTCCAGGACATATTCTCCATAGAATTCTTTCTGTGTTGGATCCAGATCACTCCACTGGTCCTGGGAGAAGCATATAGCCACATCCTTGAAGGTTACCAGGCCCTGAAACAACATGAGAATCCAATCAGAATTCTCACATACCTCTTTCCATAAAATGAGGATAAGGATACTACGGTATTTTGTTCTGGGATGAAAATTGTATGCATAGGCAGGATCCATCTAGGAGATGAAAGAAATTCTAATGGGTCATAAGGCTTCTTCTCAGGAAGCTGTGTCCCCTATTGGTGCCATTTCCCAACTTTTTAGTTTTGGGAACCACTGACCCTACTCCTGCCCCTCAAACCCCACTGCATTCCTTCAGGACCGGCTTATTTTCTTCTGCTGAAGGATATTGTTTAAAACCCAAGCTCTTAAAAGTCATCATTCAATTCCCTATTTGATGTTTAAATGCTACCTTCATTTCTATAAAAATTTACCTTCTCTAGGAAGCTTTCCTTAACCTACCCTATCTAATCTCTTATCAGGTTCACAGTCTGCAGCATAAATAAGACATTTTTCCTCAGATAGATTACAATCCAAAACCATGGATGAATTCTACTCTTTTTTTCTTTAGTCACATGGTTTCAGGTTCCTAACATGAGAAGCACAGCAGTAGAGACATTCTTACAGAAGACTAGCAAAGTTACTCCTAAAAACAAAAACTAAAACCCTTTAATTTAACAACTTCAAAACTAAACAGGAAAACAAACAATACTATGTAGGAGTGTCACAAGATAATCCCAAAATAGCACCCCCCTTTTTTTAAACCCTTCTAGTCAATGGCAAATAAAGCAGCCTGCAGATACAATGGAGACTATTAGAATCTATTTTCTTCCTCCTTCCATATACCTGCAGAATTGAGAACTTAAACTGCCAAGGGAGACTGTAGGTTTGCATCCTACCTGATTGGTCTAGCATATGACTAACATCCAACAGGTATTGAAACAAGTTCTCTGTTGTGCAGAGGAAGTAGGGCACACCTGTGACAGAGCAGTAAGAAGGGCAACCATCTCTGGGTCTCCAGAATTCCTCTCTGCAGGAAGGTCTGAGTCCTGGTACACTGGAACCTCTATGAGGAAAACAAGGCAGAGATAAGCAACATGTAGGGTACCCCCCAAACTGGCAAAGAGCTGGACATATCCCATCATCTTTGGTTGTCAGGTAGCTTTAACTTCCTAGTTATCAAGAAACTGGCCTGAGAGGAGAAAAGGCATTCCAACACTACCTTTAAGACAATTAAGGGGGTGTGGTGACACAGGCCTACAATACCAGGGACTCAGGAGGCTGAGGCAGGAGATTTGCAAGTTTGAGGTCAGCCTTAGCAATTTAGTGAGGCTCTAAGAAACTTAGTGAGGCCCTAAACAATTTAATGAGACCCTGTCTCACAATAAAAATTAAAAAGGGCTGGGAATGTAGCTCAGTGGTAAAGCACCCTTGGGTTCAATTCCCACTATTTCAAAACAAAAACAAAAACAAAAACAACAACAACAAAAATCAGAATGCCAAGAAGGCAAACAAGAATATTGCTATTTAAACCTGGCCCCATTTTGGGGGAATTTTAGCTGGTTCCATCTCCTCTCAACATCCAGGATTTTGTGTTTTTTTCCCATTACAATCTACCCAGCCTCCTTGATGCAGAAGAAATCCCCCCTCCCTGCATTCTGTCACAATCCTCCCTTCCTGCCAGGTTTCCCACCGCTCTCCTGCAGGGGCTGGAACTCCTCTTCATGGCGCAGGCTCCGCTCTTCTGGCATCCCCAGATCTGGGTTCCGGGTGGCTTCCTCATGGAATTGCTCAGGGCTTGAGGTCTGTGCCGCATCCTGCAGCTCACAAGATGACTCAGGGTCTGTCCCTAAGTGCACTGTCTCCTCTGACAGGACTTCCTGGCCATGAACATGGACAGTCACCTGGGAATAATTCCAACCTCCAGTCACCATGGAGTCAAGGGGAAATTCCTGGTTGTCACCAGGGCTTATTAGAAGCTGCCTGGAGAAAAACTCTCAGAGGGGCCCAGAAGAGGAGGCAAAACTCCAATTCCACTAGGATTTGAGAAGAGCTGAAGGTTACCTCACCAGGACAAGGTGGGGGACACTCAGGTACTGCACCACTTTCTCACTTCCCTCAACCCTTGCTCCCAATACCCAGGGCTCTGATGTTCCCATCCTGCCTACCTTCACCTATCCCAAATGCAGCTGTCCTTGCTGTCTGCCTCCCCAGCTTACCATCCTGGAAATGGGGTCTGAGACTGAGGGTTGAGAACCTTTGAGGAAGTAAAAAAAAAAAAAAAAAAAAAAAATCCTCCTCCCCAGGAACCCCACGATTAACATCCAAAGAAAGAAAACTAAAACTATGACTCCTCAGATAATCCCTAGGCAGATGTTTCAAAACTCAGAAGGTCACACTCATACACACACATACCCCTGCCCCATGGGGCTCATGGATCCAGGAGCAACCCAAAAGCAGAACTGATTAAATTTAAAGGATAACTTATGCGGGCCCTGTGAGCCCTCCCCGCAAATCCAGCCTTCCAGTAGACAATCCCCCTCCACATCACACAGATCAGGACTCCCCCTCCTCACCCACCGCCTTGGTCTCCTGGGTTGTTTCTGCAAACCCTCCACCAGCGTCACTGCCTCCTCGCCACTTTCTGGCCGCTGGCCCCGCACCCAGCTCTGTAGTTCCCCAGGCAGGACGGTGAGGAATTGCTCTAGCACAAGCAGCTCTAGGATCTGCTCCTTTGTCCTCCTTTCTGGCCTCAGCCACTGATGACAAAGTTCTCGGAGTCTGATGAGAGCTTCTCGAGGGCTTGCAGCTTCTTGGTAGCGAAAACATCGGAAGTTCTGGTGAGAGGTTTCCAGCACAGGGTCATCCCTCTGTAAGATAGACTCTGGCCTGCAGATTGAATCATCCTCCAGTTTGACCATCAGAATTCCCTCTTCTTCCCAAAGATCCTGGTCCTCTAGTTCCAAGACTGTAGCCATTTCTGGCTCTGGGATGATCTCACACCATTTAGAGCTCACAGGAAAAATCCCCGTCTCCGCCTGGACACTTCAAGTTTCTCCCAAGGGACCTGGAGTAGAGACATAAAGAACAGCTTAACTGAGATTATGCACTAGGATAACAGTTCTAACTTTAATTGTAATCCTTCTTTAATTGTAATACTTCTTCAAATAATAAATCCCCCTTTCTCCAACCTCCACCTCCACCATCATATGTTGCATTGAGATCTAGTTGGGATAGAAAAATCTATGACTGAAGGCATGGCCCTCCACCCTATTTCCTAGGTGAGGTTCCTTCTCTATAGGGAAACATTACATTTTTGTCATGACTACTACCAATTCTACCTCTTAATTTCTAAATCTGTTTCCTCTACTTCCTTCCTGCGGCTGCTTTAAATATGGCCCTCATCATCTCTTGCACAGACTATAACCATGTAGTACTAACTCCCTGTAGTACTAAAATGGCTGGAGAAAGGGATCTCATAACCTGTTAATCAAGTGGTACTTCTGGGTGTGGTGGTGCATGCCTGAAATCCCAGCAACTCAGAAGGATGAGGCAGGAGGATTTCAAGTTCAAGGCCAGCCTTAAAAAGATCCTGTCTCAAAATAAAAAATAAAAGAGCTGAAGATGTAGCTCACTGGCAGAACACTTGGGGTTTAATCTCCAGTACCACACACACACACACACACACACACACAAACACAAACCCCAAACAAATTCGGTACTGACCACAGTATATTCATAGCATTTTATATGCACACAGATATTTACATGTGTTAGCATGTGTATTGTGAGAAAAAGACATGTCAACAGGACTGACAGAGATGGTGAAGGCTTTATGGAGGTGCATTCTGGGCTTACACACAATATTAATTTCTGTGACATGGGAATCCTCAGAGATCCAAGGAAGAGATTATATGGACAATACTGAGGAAAGTAATAGTGGTTGGCACACAGGCACTCTAAAAGACAATGTTTAATTGGATGACCCACAGACTTCCAAACTCAAGTGTTCAACACCAGATTTATTACTTATTCTAAAAAACAACCTTCTTTTTGACTTGGTTGATATCATCACTTGTTAAGGGGACACTCAATTCTATAATTCTTGGATTTAACTTTGAATTATTTCCCATTGCTTACAGTTCATTAAGCCCATTCTACCTCTTAAGACTATAAATTCTTCCTCCTCTTCCTTCCTGCTGGCTGTTTTAATTGGAGCCCCTCATCATTTCTCACCTGGACTCCTACTATAGCTTCCTAACTGGGATCCTTGTAGTAGTCAACTGGGAATAAAGTACAATAGAACTCTCCGCATGCATCATTCTTTTGGACATTGTGATTCAGGTAGTCTAGACAACTGTATCTTTAGAAATGCTACTTGCTGTTCTAATGTGAACTCTGGCTGCAAACAGTGAGGAAGGTGTGTAAGATTAAGTGTGAGAATCCTAAGTCAGACTGCTTAGGTTTGAATCAAGGCTCTTAATGTTTACTAGATATGAGACCACAGTGAGACTATGGGTAGATTTATTCTTATATTGATTTTGATTTCCTTATATATAGAATGGAGATAATAATGACAGCAATATAATAGTGTTCCTATGAGGATTAAATCTAAGTGTTTAGAAGAGTGATGGCACCGCAGGGTTAACTACTATTTTTCTAAATTATAGTTCCAAGTACATATCTCAGTATTTAAAAACAGTACCTTCTTTTTTTTTTTTGGTCCTGAAGATTGAACTCAGGACCACTCAACCACTGAGCCACATCCCCAGCCCTATTTTGTATTTTATTTAGAGACAGGGTCTAAATGAGTTGCTTAGGGCCTTGCTAAGTTGCCCAGGTTGGCTTTGAACTCGAGATTCTCCTGTCTCAGCCTCCCTAGCAGGTAAGACTACAGGCGTGTGCCACTGTGCACAACTAAAACCAGTATCATTTTAATGTTAGTAAAATCAATTCCAAATCCTGGTAATGGCAAGCAAAGCATTTCACATTGAGTTCCAATCTGTTTTCTTTTTGCCATACTGGGGATTGAACATAGGGGCACTCTACCACTGAGCTACATCCCAGTCCTTTTTGTTTTTCATTCGGAGACAGGCTCTTGCTAAGTTGCTGAGAGTGGGCTTGAACTTGCAATTCTCCTGCCTCAGTCTTCCAAGTCCTGGGGTTACAGGCATGCACCACTGTGCTAGGCCCCAATTTATTTTTCAAGCTGCATCTCCTACCCTATTTTCTGTACCGCTCAGCTGTTAATGGATGCACTGCTGATCTCCACCAATAGCCTGTCTTCTCAGGCCTCCCTGTCTTTTGAAGGCCGTTCCTTCTGCATGGAGTGCTCTCCATTCCCTCAATACTGCAAGGTGTGTTGCATTCTTAATAGGTTCTCTCTTCATTCCTATGATTTAGTTTAGGTTCTCATCAATTCTCATTTGGATTACTGCAACTGTCTCCATATATGAACCACCTGTCTCTAGAGTTGTGACCTTTAAGTTACCATCCATTGTATCACCAAAATAAATTTTCATGGTAAATCTGGTCATGTCTCTCCCCTACGTAAGATCCTTCTTTCCTGTCTTGGAAGTGAACAAACTTCTATGTATTATGTTTCAGGTTGACTTTCATCTTGTTCCATCTGCTCTCTTTGCCAATCCTTACATGTGTGTGCACATGTACCCAGTGTGCATGCAAAATACACAAGTGTCCCACTCTAGCTTTTGGACATACTCCTCCTTCTGACTGTACCTTTGGTTAAATTTCACTTATATTTCAAGATGTAACTCAGACTTTGTATCTTCTTGAGCTATTTTCTTTGATCCCACTTCACCTACCCTTGGTTAGATATTACCTAAGTGCTTCCAGAGTAACCTGAGCACATTTTTACCACAGGGTATGTCATATTACATAGACATTGTTCATTTTTCTTGTGAAACTCCTTCAAGTCACTAATATCAATAAAAATACACAATGAATGTATTTAAAACAAGGAACCTCTACCCTGAGGTTTTTTTCCCTCCCTTCTTTAATAGAAAAAAATAATTTTCTTTCATGTACGTCTACATTTTTTCTTTTCTTTCTTTTTCTTACTAGTACTATTAATTCTAACTTCTAAAAAAATGTCTTACATATTCATCTATGTCTTCATCTCCATTGCCATTTCTCTGGTGGAGCCACTACAATACACAAGAATGCATTACCAGGACCTTTTAAAAAAATTATCATATCCTCACCCCCGAATCAGCCCTGGCATATAACAAGCACTTATATTCTGAATGGATGATTTAGAACAAATTTCAGGACTGGTGTTCTTGGTCCTGTCCTCCTCCAGCCCAGAGTCCACAAGCAGTCTGAGGTATCCATTGTTTCTCAATCTTTTTGTGTTGTATGACAACCTCCTGAGTGACCTTTTAGTTATCCAGTGAGCTTTTATAGCTGTCTCACCTGCTGTTGAACTTCAAATTAGTTTATGGCCAATGACCATATTATTCATTTTTATTCTTCATCAAACCTTTTCATTTATGCTTTCACTTTTCTATTATCCTCCATCATTTACAACATATTTCTAGTCTATTTTAGATAGTTGCAAAAGCAAGCCTTTTTAATGGAACTTCATTTGCTTTTACCTAAATGCTAACATTTCAATGATTTGGGATGTTTCCATGTTTTTGAATCACATTTTTAGGATATGTTTTGGTCCTCCCTGCCCTCAAGTGAATTTTGACCCACCCAAGGTTATGAAAAGCCCATCCCTTGTACTTTCTCTATATAGTAGGCCGATTTTCAGTGAAGGGGTGACTCTTTGAGGTCCCAGGTTGGCAGGCTGCTCAATTCATAATCTCCACATGCTCCACTATTACTTCAAGTCATATCTTTGTTGTAGCACAAGTATGGAACCCCCAACCCTAGAAACCTTATCTTGGTTTGAAATATACTTGGGCCACGATAGAGTCAGCTTTTACTCCTCTAGATTTTACTTCTATTTCTGGAATATATACATTTATTCTTTAGTTTTCGAGATGGAGAAAAGAGGAGACATGGACTGATAGGCACAGGAGTTTTAATAATAGGTACACTACCTGTACTTGCAATATTATGCAAAGATCTGAGTGAACTTTCTCACACACAAAATCTGCCAGTGGACTCATGTTGTCTTTAGGATGACATTTTAAACTCTTTAAAATTTGATACTCAGAGCCTCTTCATGACCTGGTCTCTGACTACCTCTTTTCTCCCATGACTGCCTCTCCCATTGAATGTCATTGCTCAAATTATGGTTCTATGTCCCTCTTTTCTAGTTCCTCACTGGGCTTTTCTGATGTTGCATATTGTCTGAAATACTCTTTGTGTTTCCTTCTCTAACTTAACTTTATTCATCCTTCAGATCTCACAGCTCCCAGAATGTCTTCTCTGGTCCTTTAGATTATGCAGCCATAGGAATATGTGGCCGCCCCCCACAGCACATCATCTGTTGGGAGAAATTGTTCCTCTAGCTATTACTGTTGGATTCACTGGACTGTAAGCTCTGAGGACAGGGATATGCTGTGCTCTGCTGATACTCAGAAGTGGTACTTACTTTGTACCTGATGAATGCAGAGAACACTTATTTTTTCTAAGTTTGTCTCTGGAAGGACAGGTACCATATCATATTAATCCTTATTTGTTGATTTGTCCAGCAAACTATTCTGGACAAATTAACATAAGGAGAGATTTATTGTTTTGCATTGTGAATATAAGAGAACATTCTTAGTGGTTCCCCAAGTGATGGAACTATTTCATCATAAAGAATTTTCAGATCACCCTGAGAATAATTCAAATATAAGTTATACAAACTGGACATGTGAAAAAAATCATTTTCCTTTGAGGATTTGAATCAACTTTAATAAGTATAAAATCAGACATTAAGTAATGCAACTACATATTGATTACTTATCCAGACAAAGCTTTCCAACACCTCTCCCTACCCCTACCCCACCCCACACCATTCCATTCTCTGCACAATGGGGAGAGAAGACAGAATTGATACATAGGGTCTTCTGGCTTAACAAAAGGATCTCCACTAAGATTAAAGTCTCC